GGTTAGGGTTTAAGGTTTAAGGTTCAGGCTTTAAGGGTTTAGGGTTAAAGGTTTAGGGTTAAAGTTCTAACAAGCTGCAAGAGATGTTTCCGTGCAAGAAGTACTGGGACAGATTCAGTGGCCCCATATATGTACATATGTATTTACAGGTTTTTACTGCATAATCATCAAAAATATTCCCAGCAATATCTCCCAGTATCCCTACCCAACCCTGAGGCCCAGGCTGAGTAGCATTCGGGCCCATAGCACTGGCATCCTGGAAAAAAATTGACTTCAGCTCCACGCATGATGATGTTGGCAAAGGGGATCGGTCCAAAGGGATTATATAGGTACTATATAGGGATTATACAGGGGTTATATGGGGTAATAATGCTTCTGTACAAGCCCTCTCTGATCTGGCTAGCTGGCTGCATGACATGTACTACAAACCCACATTAGCAGCTAATGCAAGCAATACTTGAAGACACTGTTTTGCACATGAGCTAAAGTCTAAGCTCCTGGTATCCACCTTAATATGCCCTACAATAGGACCCCTATATAGTCCCATCACCCCCTTTTCAAGGAGTTTAGAGTACAGCTCACATCTGCGGCAACACCCGAAGCCAAGAGGGATCCAGGTCCTCGTGGAGGTTCTCACCCCCAATTGCCAGGTTGTTGGCACCTCCGGCCCCTTCACCAAGCTGCATGTCACTAGTTGCCTCAGTTGGAGCTAAGTTGAATCTGCTTGGCAAAGTGCAAAGTGGCAAAAGGCTTAAGGCATTGCGCTGGTCATATCTTGGGCCCCCCCTGGGTGGCACAGAGAGAGACACTAAGCCACACACGATACCCACCTTCAGCTCCTTTCCTTCAAGCACAAATCATGTAAAGAAACGCCATGACAGGAACTGGAGGAGGTTTTGCAGCCTGCCTGCCAGCTGGAAGCCGTTCATGGCCGTCATGGCTTCGCGAGCCTCTGAAGCGTTCTTGAACTGCACGAAGGCGAAGCCCTGGCCGCTTGATTCTCGGGAAGTTCAAAATTCAGCCGCCCAGCACCTGCGGATCCTCCGGCCTTGCACTTGTTTGTGTAAGGATCTCTGTGCAAATCAATGAACTCAATCTCACCTGTGATCAGGCCAAGTCTGGGTATGCGCTGACATCGGCGGGCATCTGAGAGAACGCTGCCACCGGGCCGGCCCGGCATTACTGTTTCGCTTTTCCAGCAGGTCAAGAACAAGAATTGCAATGATCCCATGTAACTGCGCATGTGCAACAACCGTCCAATAAGGCATTAAAACCAAGCCACCAAACGGCGAGAACAGCTTCTTAAGCTCCTCCTCCGAAATGTTCGCCAGAGAGTCCGTAAGGCCACCAACATACAAACCTGGTGAATGCAACTCAGGATTGTGGAAGTTACTAGTACTAGCACTAGTAATAGGAGTAGCAGTAGCAATAGCAATGAAAATAGGAATGGTCATAGGAATAATAAGGGCAATGGTAATAGCACTGGTAATAGTAATAGTAACAGCAACAGTAATAGTAATAGGAATAGAAACAATACTATACTCGTAGTAGTGTAGTAGTAGTAGTAGTAGTAGTAGTAGTCGTGGTGGTGGTGGTGGTGGTGGTGGTGGTGGTGGTGGTGGTGGTGCTTGTGATGCAAAATTTGAGGCTCTCAGAAAAGAAAAAAAGACCACTGCCTTTCAGGAAACACATCGTCAATCCCGGGACCACTGTGCACACTGGACAAAAGACTTCGCCCAAAATCGACGATGATCAGTTAGCCCTGCGCTTTGGACCATTTGCAAGAACTAGAGGTTCCGCAAACTAGGGGCTCTTTTGTCGCTGCAAAGTAAGGACTATAGTCTATAGTGTATTGGGGTATGTAAGGATTTCTCCTGTTTGCAGAAACTCACATCTTCCTCCCGCCCCACCCAGGCTCTTTCCAAATGGGTGCTAGGGGAAGTAGGAGAACCCATGAGATTGGTCCAAACCCTGAGCCCTGGACTGTAGCCTTAAACTCAAATCCCAAACCCTAAACCCTAAACAAACGTACAACGAACCCCTCAACCCTAAACCCTAAACCAAGTGGCGGAGAGGGGTCTCACGCGGCGCGGTGTAGTGGATGGAAGCCTTGGCTGCTTGAGCAGCCCGATTCTTCTCAGCCTGGCCACAGGTTTGAGGGGGCGATGGGCCTAGGGGTGGGGGGTGTTTATAGGGGTTATACAGGGAGAATGGAAAATAACATGCAACCTACTATTAAGGGGTTGGGGTTTAGGGCTTGGGGCTTTGGGTTTAGGGCTTGGGATGTTGGCTTTTACTCAAGCGCACCCGCCGCCTTTGCTGCATGCGGATGCCTACCAAAAAACTTACAACGCTGACTAGGGTTTAGGATCGAAGGTGAGGGGTGCGGGAAAACAGGACACGAGAACATCATGCAATTTAGCCCAAAGGACAGTTCAGTGCTTTTCCTGAGGTTTAGGGCTGTAGACATTTTACCCTGGGACATTCATTCATTTGATCTGCCAAGCAATCCCGCTTTGTCCACGTCATTTTGAGTATGGAATGAATGATCTCAAATAACTCCATATGGGTGGTTGTCAAAATGATGGTGCCTTTTTGGGTACCCTAAATAATAGGGGCCGTATTATAATAGGGACCCAAAAAAAGGGCCATAATTTTGACAACCACCCATATTGGCTCATGATTGGCAGAATAACCAGATCGTCACTGTCTGCCCCCGAAGACGCAGACCGTAAAGACGATATTTTCTGGTGCCCACTACACTCTGAATGTGCGAGCGCCTGATACCCGATAGAAACACAGAGGCCCCTACCTGGCTTGAGAAACTATAGTCCCCCTTAAGTAGAGAGACTAGGGAATTCCCGATTCGTATGATAAATGTCCCCATATATCCCATATCTATGTACTTAAGGAGGACTATAACCGTAACCATAAAAAAATATCCCCATATGTACCATATCTTAAGGGGGGTTATAAACCATCAACCTTTTGTGCATGCAGGAACCAGCCTGGGACGGCTGCACGCGTACAGCCTAGCGAGGCCGATAGCCACCACCATGAGCACTTCAAATAGGGTTTAGGATTAGGGTTTAGGGTTTAGGGTTGAGGGGTTTGGGTTTAGGATTAGGGTATCAAAAAATCTGCAAAAATACTTTTATGCACTTCACATGAAGGTTTTTTTTGCAGGACCTTTTCTCCTAGGCACGAGTCCCAAGAACATGAGGGGTATCCTGGCCATGTTGCAGGCAGTCGGTTTTTATCCAAGTGTAGGGCCAGCAAAGCCATTGTTATTGATGTTTCTGACTCAAATTTCTGCTAGAGCTACTTTGCGTGTTTTTGCATTTGTTACAATTCCGATATACACCCTATATGTAGTTTCCCTAAATAGGGGGACCCAATTTAGAACCCAATATACTATATGTTTTGTTCTAGGGACCCCCAAAAAGATACCCCTAATTTGGGAAACTTCCATCTATCCCCGAAGAATATATTTATCTCCATGCCCTTTCCATAATTCCCTACAGGACAGTCAGCGCGACTTCGGGATCCTGGCCACACGTGTGGATTACAATAGTCTTATGGGGTTTAGGGTTTAGGGTTTAGGGTTTAGCTTGGGTAGTGCCCCACCCAGTAACAGTCTATACTGAGGGTCATATTAAGGGCTATTTATAACTATATTAAAAATATTATCCAACTGTTATTGAGTGGGGGCAGTACCCAAGGTTTAGGGTCTAGCCCAAACATGAAACCCCTAAACCCTAAACCCCAAACCTTGAACCCTAGACCCCAAAACGGTGAACCCTTAAACCCTACCCAAGATCCTGCAGGTTCTCCGGGAGAACTGAGAAACCATCCCGGCATTCAACGTCCTCCAAACCTTGTAAAATCAGAGCACTTTTGCTTATGCGCCAGGCCTTTTCCAGTTCTCCTTCGGAGAACCCTCAAGCCGGGGCGAAACCCTAACCCCAAAACCTTAAAGTCTAGATCCTAAACCCCCAACCGCAAACCTTAAATCCCCTAAACCCCAAACCTCAAACATTAAACCCTAAACCCAGTGCTTCTCACTCGGGGCCGCACCTGACCCTTGATTGGCTGCCCGCTGAGCGCCAAAGCTTTCAGCGTGGCTTCCTGAGGCATACAAGGAAATTTGTGAAACTGTATAGGCATGTGTATATTATATATATATATGATTTAGGGTTTAGGGTTACAAGTTAGGGTTTAAGGTTGAGAGCGTGGCTAAAATACAGAGGCATATCAATATGTTCTGCAAGCAAGGGACACAGGTAACAGAGGGATGGTAAGGAGATTGTCAGGATTTTTGGGAAGGACCTTATCTTAGAGGTGGTTGGCACAAAATAAAGGAGTATGCTAAGCTATATACGGATTATATAGGAGCCTCCCGAAGCCTCCGACACCCCAAATAGTAGTTTCCATGTTATTTTCCATTGTCCCCTATATGACCCCTATAATAATCCCTATCATAACCCTTAACCCCAAACCCGAAACCCTATAACCCCTATAATAATCCTTGTAATAACCCTATAATATAAAACCAGAGGGGGCGGAGGAGGGCGAAGCTGGAGCTGTTAGACCACTAGCGATTCCATTATATTCCCCTTAAGTAGATAAAATATGGCTTTCGGTATATTACAATAAGATTCCCATATACCCCATATTCTATCTACTGAAGGGGGAGTATATCTTCCCGTATTCCCCACTAACCCCCAGTAAGTTATAGGGATTAGGTTAATAATGGGGAAAAGTGAGCTTACTATGGTTACTATATGGGATATGAGGTTATTAACCTACTTACTAAGTCCCCCTGACCCCCCAAGTAACCCCCAGCAAGTTAGCGTCTTCCCTTGTGCATATGCCAGGCCTGCAGATAGAACTCCACATAGGCGAGGCCCTTGGAGCGGCCTGAAACCCAAATTTAGGGATTCTATCCCTAAACCCTAAACCCTCAACCCTAATCCCTAAACCCTAAACCCGGTTTAGGGTTTAGGGCTTTTGGGATTCTATAAGCTTCAGGGATTTGGGCAGAGGGTCTAGGCTGCACTTTTGTCTGATCATCTGTTTGCCTGAAAGCTTCTTGGGAAGGCTTTCTGCTTTAGGGTGTAAGACTTGGACGTGCTTGAGAGGCCTTTCAATGGATGTTTCTAAAATTCAGGGGCAGAGCAATTCGACCCAGAATGTTCTAGGATGCCATCCAAATCTGAAAGCCCGCCAGAAATTGCCACACACTTGGACGTAGCTTGTCCAGCCAGCATGCGCGCACAAAATTCCTGCCTGTACGCGCATCGCGGATGATCTGCACGTCTCGCACCTGGGCATCAGACATGCGGCGCTCTCCGCCAACTAAGACTAGTCTTCACGCGGGAAAGCTGGAAACGGCATCTCCCCAAGTTACTTGGAGCTTGAGGACCGGCATAGTAGATGACAGGGGTGGCTTACTTTTTTGACTGAGAGCATAGCCTTGCCAGCATTCTTTGAGAAGAACTCATAAACATCGCGCTCATCAGCCTGCAACATAGCAGCATTGTCCAAAACGCAGCAAAAGTGCATGCTGCTGAGAATGCACCTGCAAAGTGGAGGGCAGCAAGCCACCGAAGCTTCCTTTACGTATAGTATGCTGACTCTCCCGCCTTATGGTGTAAGCATACTATCATGACCTCAGCTGGTTGCCACGTACGCCTGCAACGGATCACAGCACTCTGCAGTTGAGATACTGTGCGATCACCGCGCGTTGCATCTTCAATCTGGCGCCTTCGCTCCTATCAGATTGGTTCGATGCCAGCTTGGAAGGGTGTGCCCTCAGAAACTTCAGGCATATGAGGGCATTACAAAGCGATTCTGGGGGCTAGGGCCATCCATATGAAAGCACTTTATATGGGTGATTCTGAGAATACCCAAGTGGTGGATCAGAAGCCGCTTCTTCACGCTCCTGCTTCCAAAGGAAATATGTAACTCGTAAAATGATTCCAGATCCTGCTTCTTGGAAATACATGTACGGGACAGCAGCTGTCCACTGCCTCTTCCTCTTCTTGCCGGCGCTTTTCCTGAAAAGGGACTACGCAATGCTACTGAAGCAAGGTGGATAGCGGTAGTGGCGGTGGTGGTCTGGGGGTCGGGCTGCGGGCGGGCGGTGGCGGCGGCGGTCGCCGCGGCGTAGCGGTGGCGAGGGTGATGTCGGTGGCAGCGGCAGTGGGGGTGGTGGCTGACCGTCGTGGCGGCTGCGGCGTTGGTGGTGGTACGGCCACGCTGCGATTTGAGACTAGAGTAACTTGCCGAGCTTGCTACTGTTTTTGACAGTTACAACGCTTCTTCTACAAAGAACACCAACAACATGATCCACTACGATTGTCAGCCTTGGCGCCTTTCTCCAAACAACTTTAAAGAAGTCCTATGCGCTTATTCTTAATATTCATATTCGTCATATTCATGTTATGAATATTGATATTAATATTAATATCAATATTAATCGTAATATTAATATTCATAATATTAATATTATTTGCTCTTCTTTCAGCCCCCCGGCCTCCATCTCGCGCTCCTTCTCAAGCCGCCGCGCCTCGCGACTGCGACTGCGCGAACGACCACGTCGCGCAGAGCGCGACCGTGTCCTGGCGGCTAGTGGTGTGGGTGAAGCAGTCATCCTCAGAATCCGAGTCCCAGTAGCGACACAAACGCTATATCTGGACGTACCAGCAGAAAACATGCTAGAAATATCTAGAAGTGAGAATGTGATTGCGGCACTAGCAGTAATAAAGACAAGCTAATGGTAGTAGTAACAGTAAGTAGGGAAAAATAGTAGTGGTAGTAATAATGGTAATAGTAATAACCATTAGTCAGAATGACAGTCATGGTAGCAAGAGTAATGGTACAAGCAGCAGTAATGCCAGTGGCACTTCTAATGACAGTACTATACAAATACTTGTAATACTAATTGTAATGGTAACAATACTGGCAACCGAAACTGTGGGAGGAATAGTAATGCTGCCAATGCAGCTGCTGCTGCTGCTGCTGCTGCTGCTGCTGCTGCTGCTAGCGGTAGTAGTAGTAGTAGCAGTAGTAGTAGTAGTAGTAGTAGTGGTAGCAGCAGCAGCAGCAGCAGTAGTAATAATAACAATGACTGTTGTTGTTGTTGTTGCTGCTGCTGCTGTTGTTGTTGTTTTTGGTGGTGGTGGTATTGTTGTTGTTGTTGCTGCTGTTGCTGTTGCTGTTGCTGTTGCTGTTGCTGTTGCTGTTGCTGTTGCTGTTGCTGTTGCTGTTGCTGTTGTTGTTGCTGCCGTTGTTGTGGTTTGCTAGTGTGAGAAAGCGTTTGAATAAGAAAATGCTGCTGCTAGTGCTGCTAGTCGTACGTGTGCTACGAGGAGGAGGAGGAGGAGGAGAGAGGAGAGAGCTCTGCAAAATTGGACTGGATAATGGCTTGGCCTCCAATCCAACACACCATGAAAATGCAACTGCATAGGCTCCTGGAGCGACGCTTCTTGTCTTTTCTGCGATCGTCATCATAGTCAGCATTTGCGGCCCGCTCCTCAGTTCCAAGAGTCACCGATCAGCTCAAACTAATGGATTACACGTGCACTAGTGTTGCTCGAACCCCCGGGCCCTGGTCTTAGAGCGGCCAGGTCTCAGCATTGTCCAAAAGCTGCTCGACTGCATCAAAATCGAGATCATCCGCCATGGCTGGAAATCAAAGCCAAGTATTTTACCACCCGACACAGAGCAATGTCTGCCACTCACACACATATGCGCACCATGTGTTTGCCTAAACATATCTGCACCTATGCCCTCGCTATGCCGATCCACGGAGCCAGAACAAACGAACACGAGAAAGGTTCACAGTAAGATGCCAGATTCCAGTATCTGACTGCGCAAGCTCTGATTCCCCACAGGTACAAAAGCAACCCTGAGAGCACAAATTCCTTTTCGTCTCCACGATTGATTATTCCGGCCAGCTTGCTTTTTCGGAGGACGATCATCGCGCCTTTTGATGCCTCCACCTGGACAGACAGCCAGCTCTTGCTGCTTTGCAGTTCTAATCATCGCTCAAGGTAGGAGGACCTGCTTTCAGACATGGGTGCTCTCACGGAGCCTATCCTGCAAGTGCCATGAATGCTGGGTGCTGCAATGCAGGCTGAGCCTCCACGAACTTCCTCAAAGAATGTCCGGACCCTGGCTGTAGGCTTGCGTGTCTTGTAGCCGCAAGATGCAAGTCAAAGGATGATAGTAACAATACTAATAATACTGATAGATACTAATAATATTCATGGTTGTAATAAATACTGATAATGATAGGAGTAATAGTAGTAGTACTAGAGCATGTCGCCTTCGTCATTACACACGCCACTTACACCAGCTTTATCACAGCTAACTCAGCCCAGATGGCTGCATGGGAGCTCAGAACCAATGCCCAGATCATGTCCGGTGGCACTGCATGCCTCGGCTACCTGCAACTGAGGACTCAACTCGTCAATTGAGCGCTCCACGTGCTGGAACTTGCCCCGGAACAGGCCAATGTTGCGCTTCAACACCTCCGGGCTCTTGTGGCTTTTTGATCACTGAGGACTTGCGGCCATTGTTTGTGCAGTTGACCTATCCTCATTTTTGTATTTAGGCTTGTCTGAACATGTCCGCCGACACCACCTTCACCAGATGTCTCAGCGTGTCAGTTGTGCGCAACGTCAGACAGGCTGGTCTGCAACGCACGAATGCCGCAGTTTCACAACAGTTTTGCCATACTTGAGAGCCACGGGCTGG